TCCTAGAAGCTCAAAATGAGACTTAAATATTTGTAACTATGAAATGGCATGCAAACATACAGATTTGTTGCTGATTATTTCTCTCTCTCTTATAAAAGACTTAGTGGGCCAGAGTAAAGCAGGTATTTTCTCATGTTTGTTTATACAATGACCTCTCTCCTCACACTAAAAATGTCACATACAGAATATTTTATCAGCTTTGTCACAAATGCTGCTTCTGTAAATTTGAATCCTATGCCCTTCAGATCCCCCTGACTGGTGCAACAATCAAACAGCTTTCAGAAAGCTTAACAAAACCTAAATTTGCCAATTTTCTTTTACAGAAGGTATATACAAGTTTATAAATCCATGGCAGGGGTATTACAATTGTATTAACATCAACTTATTAACTGAATTGAAAGATACTTGCATTCTGTAAGGACTCCATGGCTGCTGCCCATTCAATAGTTCTATCAAGGCACTGTACAGTCATTAAATCTTGAATATTCTCTAAGATGTACAGAAGAATATTGTGAACATGTTTAAGTTGTTAAAAAGCCCTGAGTCAGAACTTTTATATTTACCACAGGCTTAGCTATAAAAATGGCACATACTAAAACTTCTGCAGATAACAGTTTTGCTTTGTCAACACAAACAAGTTATGAAATGCATAAAAATACAATAGTATGAATTCCAGCAACTCATGCAAGAATGATATACAATGTACATAGTGTCAAATCACACACTTCTATTGTACGTAATTTATACAGTCAATAAAAAAAAAACAACCCTTTGCAATGTATTCAGACATCAAAACGGATGAAGCAAAACAAAACTGATGTGTTCCCCATCCCTTCCGAAAGACAAAGAACAACTAGAGAAGAATTCAGGACTCTAACAGAAAGGAGGTAGCACTGCTAAAAGTTAGGCTGTAGTGTTCGTTTTTGTTTTTTTTAAGTGAAAACTTGACCCACGCAGCAGAAAGAACAGGACAGGCTCTTCGGCTCACCAGCTGCTACTGGAATAGTAAAATTAAGTTTCTGGCATTTAAATTTTTAGAGGAAGCTTAGATCACTAGCTCAAAGCAGCTTCTTCAAACAATTTAGTGTTTACACAAACTTCAATTCTGCAATTAATACTGCTAAAAATAATTAGGCATACACAAAACTTCATCTCTAGAAAATATCTACACAATAAGGACTTAAATCAGATTATTTTTAAAAGACAATTTCAGGTCTTTAAAATAAACTAAAATACTGAATGTAAGACTAAGCTAACAAGGCACAAGTACTTGTGCAAATCCTCACCCAGTTCAAGTTAAGAACAACACCTCCTAATCAAACTTTCACATTTACAAAGTAACTTGTTTATTCTCTTGTCAGTCTAATTTTCAGTATCGACTTCAGCAAAAAGATTCCTCCAAACCCCCACATACAAGTACACAGTATTTAAAAAAATGAAAAATAGGAAGTAATAGCCTAAATTCTGAGAAGAGCCATATGAGCTTGGGGTACAGTAAGTGATAGTAGGTTGGGGGAAAAAAAAGTCATGGTTATACAAAAGTTAACAAGCTATAACTATTTAGCATATTCTGTTAGTCTCTTAGGTTATCTTCATACTTTAAATCACTGTGTACTGATGCGGTCATTTATGTATTTTACTAAATTGAAAAAAAATGAAGTGTTTTACTTAAACATCTGAGCATACTTCACACTTGAACAATATATATTACTAGGTGTTTTCTTGATTGTTCCAAGAAACAAACTGAGATATTTAATCCAATTTAACTTCAAAACTGCTATTAAATACTGGAGGATAATAATAAACCAAGCCTGCAAATCTTGCCTTTTTCAATTTTACAGTATATTAGAGATAAATGTCTTACTGATTTTTCTCTCATTTTCACTTTGCTCCCTAATAATAGTGACAATAATAATGAGATTTACACTTTCTTCATTTGCTGGAGACATGCATAATGACATATCCTCAACTCTCCTACCTGTTATGATCCCCTTTGGCTTTCAACTGAGCTTCTGCTTTTCATCCTTCAATTATTTAAGTGTTATCCAATTAAACATTTGCACTCTGCATGTTGCATAGATGATATCAGACTAAATTGAGTGAAAAAACTTACTAGCTTTCTCACCAACACTAGTTCACCTTCTACATCAGAATCCAAAGACAGTGTGTGAATCCAAATATCTATTTCCATAAACGATACTGGATTTGCAAACATTTTTCCTCATTAAGTTTTTTGAAAGGAAATCACTGTGTAGCCTTCCCAATACTACAGAGAGCTCTTTCACCTATTAATAAGAGACCTATATTAATAATTCAAGCATGTTGGCTAGATTACCTAGTTTTTCTAATTCAGCTGTTTCTCGTGGCACCATAATAGCACTGAGTTGACACACTTTAATTTTAACTGGCACACAACATTGCCCCATGAGTCCAATCACAAACTTACATGCAGTCACACACATCTGGTGTGACCCCAGTACAGATGACTAAAGCTGCTCCTATAGCAATACCTTCAGTCATTGTCTCTATTTCCACAGGAACGTGACAGCATCCAACCATTAAGAGTGTCATAAAGTAACTTACTGCTTCTCTGTTCAAAAGCACAAGCCTAAGTGAGCACTCACCTATCTATGCTACAGTACGCGCCTCCTGCAGACAAGGAGTATTTAACATTCACCTCCAGTTTTTCCCCCAGGATGCTTCAGATCAGTCCTCACTCATCAGATGAGTTATTCAATTGATGCTAAGTTGGAAAACTTTCAAGTAAATCTGGCTTGTTCCAGTGAAAAGGAATTAAGAAAATGCCAACTGCTATATTGAGGTTTCAGTTTTGAGCTGCATTAACAAGAAGAAATCCACCCTGCCTTTGTGCCGACAACAGTTTATACAGGTACCCTTGAAGATTAAATAGGACACAATATTCAAAATATGTCTACCAGAGGCAACCGAGGTACAGATCTGATACAATTCAGGCTGAAATTCAGAATGGATTGTCAAATGGCATGTCCTATTAAAAAATTATTTTTAGAGGAAGATTGCCAGGAAACTGAAGCCCACTATAGAAAGTTCAGCTGTGAAACACACTACAAAAAAAATCTTAGTGACATGCATATTAGCCAAATGAAAATTGCAGTGAACACGCAGATGCACTCAGAGCCTAAGTGGAGATAATGAAATGCTGAACTGCAAAAAAGCTCTGTATCAAAAACTTTCCAAAGCTCCTTGAAATCTTGATATTTTAGAATAGGAACCCAAGGAGCAAGAAAAAGGAAGGTTATTCAGTTTGGCCAAAAAGACAGATACACAGATTATCTGAGAACAGATGACTACTAGTACACAAAATAAACCAGAATATTATATTGACTCCAGATTGAGATTGTGCCCAATGAAAAATTACTGAAAAGAATGATGAATGTTTGCAATTCTGGATCAGGACCAAAGATGGTTACAGAAAGGTTGTGTATTACATCACTCTGCTATGTTAAAAGCCACTCTACATACATTTTCCCAATATATCACTGTGGTTGTTTCCTGGAAAACACTATTCAGTGTTTAAACCTTACTGGTTAAAAGTTCACCTATCTTTACTGTTTACTAGTAACATTCTTCTGACACTTTTGTCAATGTTTGCACAATTTAGGCATATCAACATAAGATTCAGAAAATCAAGATCGATTACCTGAAGAGATCAGTTTTATGCCGTTATCCTTATCTGGATCTTCCCCTGAACTATCCCTTTTGCCACATGCAACAAGAATTACATAAATTAATCTTAGCTCCAAGCCAGGCACCTAAGTGACTCCAGCATGTAGTTATGGTTTTGCAAGAGCACATCCAAACAAAGTCTCCACAACAGCAAAGGGCTACGTAAACTACGCATTCAGAAAACTGCTGAATTGCACATTCCTTTTAGCTACAAGAGATCCTTAAATCACCATACTTTCTCCCATCCAAAAAGATGGAAGAATGTACTTGTTATCAAAGTGTTAATAGTTTGCAGTTCCTGACAAACTATTAGTCTCTTTATGTCATGTCAGTGACAGCTAACTCTTTCAGCCAACTTCAACTCACCTAGGCATGGCTCACAAAATTCACTGCTGTCAGCAGTATCTTCATTTGCAGTATTACCCCATAATGTTCACAGCTAAATTCTGCTGTTAACATCCAACTTAGACAAATAAGCAATATTAAATCTTCTCTTTTGCTGTCGATACTGTTTGCCTGGAAACAATAAAACTAATTTAAGAGAGGAAATCTTGCAAAATCTCTAGTTTTCCCCTAATTCACAGACCCAGAATTTTAAATGGCTCCACATATATACTTGTTCCTCTACAGCTGATCAAATTAATTCATCTGAAATGGATAACTGACCCACTGCTCAAATTTTTTCCTTTCCAGTCAAGTTAAAAGCAATTCCATACAAAATTATGTGGCTAGCAGAATTAAGAAGTTCACTATTTAAGTTACCTTGAACTTGTTAGACTAAAGTGCAGATTTGGGAACATAATATTTCTAAACTAGGTTTTTCTTTTTACTGTTTCCTTCCCAACCCATCCTCAGCAACAAAGGGCACAATAAAGTTAGAACTAACTTAACGTTGTATTTTGAGGTCTGATCTTATGGGATTAGTATGATATTTATTATTACTGTGTATCCACTTTGTATTGATTTGCATTATTGTATATTTCAAGATTGAAGCTACTGTGAATTACAACTGTCACAGGAAACTTGAACATTCTCCAGAAAATCATAAAACAAAAAAAATCCCAATTATTTATATTTGATATTAACTGACAATTAAAAAAAAAAATCCCTCACATCACTTGACACCTGATACATACACTAAAAAACATGAACAAAACCAAAACAAGACTGTCCCTTTACACTTTAAGGGGAAGAAGACAGAAAGAAAATGAAAAAAAGACTGCTTTAAATTAGCTTCAGGCTTAGATGTTTTTTAAGAGTAAAGCTAAAAGCTGACTGTTCAAATACTGTTCTTTTATTTGGTGCGTTCACAGTCTTTAAACAATTACTAGGTAATGAACCTGTGCTAGAAATGCTTTCATTAGAACCCCTTTCAAACTTACAGAGATTTAGAACATCAAAATGTCCTTATTATTTCACAAGCTAATAAAAGACACTGGTTCCACTACTTAATACAAAAGGATCCTTCGTTCAATTGCCTTGCGGCATATAGGGCATTCACTCATTCGGTCTCCACAAAGCTGACATGTTCCGTGGCCACAGAGAAAGATCATATTCTTCAGACGGTCCAAACAGACAGGACACATAGTCTGTAAAAGATTTTGACAGGTTACATGGTCAGCGGCAGTAGTGATACAGTATTGAGTATGCAATATATAAATTACTGAAATTTAACAATAAATATGCCATTTTAAGTGTAGCAGATTATTGCCACAGCATAAACCAGCTACTAACCTGAAAACTAAGTATTTTTTTTTAAATCACACTTTTACTTCACACCAACTTAAAATATTTGGGCTTTTTCTACCCCATCATGACACAAAAATCATGTAGCTTTTTTCCAAATAGGATCCCTTTAAGGAAGGCAACGCAGTAGAAGGTTGACATCACATTTTTAATAAGTTTGCAACATTAAGACATTCTCCAGCAACATTCCCCTTTCTGTCCTGTAATCTTCCAGGGAACAAACACAACAAACAGTTTTATGTGTGCAACGTTCAAGTAGTGATTTACCAATTTCTTCTCACGATATCTAGCCATTTATTTACTTACCTTTAAACACCAAGCACTGAACACATGTAAAAGTAATAAAAGCACCTCATAATCAGTATTATACATAAAGATTCAATACTGGTAATTCCAGCCTTTGTTAATTGAAGTTATCTAGATTTTCAAGCAACCGAACACCTCAAGTTTCAAATTAGGAACAATTTAATAAATCTGTGACCTTCAGTCATAACAGTAGCACAGCAAACTTTTAAAATCAGTTTTAATTGCTGAACATTAAAGTGACAGCCAATGCCCCCAAAAAATCTCCTAAAGTTCTTCAACAGCAAGGTTCATTTTGTACCAAGCCACTGAGGAACAACGTCCTTCACCTTTTGTCACATGCAGAAATTGAATTTTTGGTAAGGCATGTTCCTTCACCATAAACATATTGCAGCCATATCAGGATTTCATTTATAACAGTATATCAAAGGTTAGTAAATGAAGAGATGTTGTAACAGATGATAATGGTTAAGACCATTCTATAGTCCAACAAACCAGGATGTCCTCAGATCTGAGACACACTATCTAATGCTTACAAAGACTGATCGCATATATGATATGAAATACTGACAGGGCTCATATTTCAAATGCAAATTCATTTTATCAACACCTTGCACCTGTGACTTGTTTCCACACTCATCATTGGGGGTTTAATTCAGTTTGTTCATCTCATGACAGAGAGAATCCATAGCAGGAACCCTATTCAGTACAACTTTAAAGCATACTTTCTACGGAATCAATAGGTATTACTTTCCTAGGGTAGATGGTTTAGCTGAAGACCAAAAAAATTCACCATCAGTCTGCTTATCCAGAGTTTAAACTGGCATGGAATCTGGCCAAACGCCTATTTTAATCTCCCGGATACCAGTCTAATGGGCGAGGAGGAATGTAAAACTTTCAGATAAAACCTTATGTAAATTTATGCTTTAAAAAAACCCCTTCATTCTTCCCAAAAATGCTGTGCTCCAGCTGTGGCAGAATTTCCTTGGAACTGTAACAAAACACTGTCAAACTAAGAATTTGCAAAAGACCCATCATCTGTCAATCAGTCCTGTTTATTTTTCCATTCACACAGAGTCATCACCTACACATCCTAATGAGACAATTAGAGCATTCTTACTCCAGTAACCCACAGTCTTCAAATACCAGTGAATCAGCTATTTCCAATTAATATATAGCTGTATATAAATGTGTGTAACTTGATAGTATTGACATAATGTCCTTTGACAAAGGACTGACAAAACAAACCCAAATCTTATCTTTGGAGAAAAAACTTGTGCCTTTATTCTATGTTTTTATCTTAATTATTTGCTTTTGTGCCTAAATATAATCTCAGAATTACTGAAGTTACAAAGATCTGTTTCTCTCCAAATGCCACACCATCATGTGAAAATGAAAACATCCATCAGGGGACTCTGAAATAATAAAAAATTAAAATCTGTTCAAAAACCATTACTTTTGATTATTTAATTCAGTGAAGCATAGAAATCCTAACATTTTCATTTTATAGATCTTTTCTGCAATTACATGTAGTATTAGCAAATTTCCCAATTTCTCCTGCTTAGTACAAGCAGAGTATTTAAAATACATTAGCTGTTTAATTTCTTAATATGGTACTATTTTAACATTTAAGTTACTTCATACAGTAGGAGAATTCAGCTGGCAGGAACAACCAATCTCCCTATTTGCTATGCAATTCTATTCTCACAAGGATTTTCTCAATTAGTTCAGTAGTTCCCCAGTGAGACACAAGCCCAAACAACTGATTTTTATCCAACTTTCAAGGACTCATTACTTAACCACCAGCTTATATGCACTTTTACAGTGGAAGAAAGTCATTGCATGCCTTATACCCGATGTGTGCCACAGCAGCAGGAAATAAGCCGTATCTGTTTCTATTGTACTATTAGTTTGTTAGAACATTCTGTGTGAAACCACACTGTACCTTTTTTTTTTTAATCTGCATGAATCATTTGACTCCTATCTTTCGAAAGAAAACAAATGGTATAAAAAGGCACTGTCTCTGTTCTGTGTAAGAATTATTCCTTTGGATAAGTAAAAGTAGTCTGAAAACGTGCTCATCATACCTTTAAGTATAACTGAGTTTGGAATTCAAATCAATTTTTGCCACTAACAAGGTGTTTTAAACTGCTTGAAGTATCAATTCCTCATTACTAAAAAACAGTTTTTCCAACAATATACAGGTGCAGAGTGACAAATTTATTTTTAAGGAGAAAGAAAGTGATGTAAGTATGGTGAAGGAACATACATAAGATATTAGACAGATGATGGTGGTTATGTATGAAATGGAGTGAAGGTATTGCAATTACAGTCAAAAGGGTTCACAATTAGGGAATCCCTGAAGAATGATGTGGTCATCAGATGTGGGAGATTCTGTTGACATCAGCATCACTTCTGCTTGGCACCAGAAATGGTTTTAAAAGTTTGCTGCACTAACTTATTAGATTATCATTGAAGGTATGAGTTGAAACATAGGATTATACCTGCTGAAAGAGAATAAATTAGTTTTAAGTACAAAAATATCAACGCAACATGAAGACTGAACTGTTAAAGTCAGTCAAATCAAAAGAATACACAATTATAGTAGCATGCTGTGCATCGTTTCAGGCACAAATTTAAAAGATAAGATGACCAATTTTAATCAAATCCAACTTGCTACTCACAAGTATGATACACAACTTGTCCTGTCACAAGAGTAAGTAGAAAAGACACTAAGGAAAGCATGAAAGAGTCTCAAGACAAGATGCGTACAAGCCAGAAGCACCTTTTTCTAGAGGCTTTGAGCAATCTTTAGTTTTATACTGATTTAAAATAAATTATTGGACAAAAGAACATTTCAAAGCAAAAAAATACACTTAAATTCTCAGAGCAGTTCAGTACTAGACCTTTCTTACTACTACAAATATGAAAATCAGAAAATATACAAGCAGAAAATTACACATATAAAGTAATTATTCTCTTCTCCCTAATACAGCACAGCTTTCTGATACCAGAAAGCTTCTGGCTAGCAAATTCCAAAACAAAGACAAAATTGTTACAAATAAAAGAGCACCCAAAGAAAACTGGAAAAACCTGAGATCACATCTAATTGAGAAGATAATCTGTAAAATAAAGTCGTTTTCCTTTCACACCCCTATACATAGAGTATTAGCATACCCAAAAAGAACTTGTCTTTTATAAACTCCTACAATAAAGTAACCAGAAAAGAAAAAAAATACATCTGAATAGATTACTTGTATTTAATAATTCATCTGCATGTTTTATGTGTATCATTTTAAGTGCCAAAGCTGTAACCTTATTCTTTTCATCCAATGTTAAAAAATAAACCAGAAGCTAAGCAGTACATATAAGACATTGGAGATATTTAGAAACTCCAGATGTTATCATCAAGGCAGACATGCATTTTTCAAATGAAAATTTCTAATCTGCTTTTTTTTTCCCCCCAAACAAAAACTACAAAGCAATCTGTTTTTAATTGGATATTTGAACTTCTATTACTGGGGCGTTGGCCAAGTCTCCATGACAGGAACAGCTCTTCATAGACCAGCCACTGAGGTTAAAACTTTGACAGCATATCAGCTCCCAAAATTTAGGTATTTAGAGATAGGAACTGGCAATTTAAATACTTCATAGTCTTAGCTTTCACACACATGAACAGCCAAGAGCAACAATTACCAGAACTAGATGTGATGCTGCCATCACTGAACTATTATTGACTGCTGTAAGCCTACAAGAGGAAAAGGCAAGCAATACACTAAGAAAGTTTCTCTGTTTCCTATATCCATGAAAAGTTTATTCCAGTTGTGTTATACGTAGGGAAGCCAAAAATCACATTGTCAGGGTCCTAAGAAAGTAAGTTCATACAGTAGTCAGATACCCCAGGTCCTTCACTGATGAAAAATCTCAAAATCAAGTTTTTCTTTGTTCAGATGGAAAAGCAAGGAAATTATTTAGTAATTTAACACTGGAAAGTTCTGCATGTAGACAACTACTTAAGCACTTCTAATAGACTTAGACTTACAGATGAAACAAATTGAAATGGGTAACTGTCAGTTATCTGAAACATTAATTTTTGGTTTTTCATTATGTTTCTAAATTGCATGTAACTTGACTGTAGATTGTACTGATTATTAATTGCTTAGTTTTTATAAATTTCCTCCTGCAAACACTATGCATAATTACAAAAAACAAACCTTATCATTTACATTCCAAATATTCAAATTACATGTACAATACTTTCAAAGGTTTTAATTTTGGAACTACACAATTTTTTTCAAGAGTACATAAACTATACCCTTCACATGACAGGTAACTGCCAGCCATTGTTCAAAGCCAGTTCATGAACAGACAAGTAAAGGTTCAGGCAGATAGAAAATAGTCAAGAATAGCTACTTTTATTACTGTTCTGTGAAATTAGCTTCAAGTCAACTAAAGCTTCAAGTCAACTGAAATTAGCTTCAAGTCAACTGATCAAGTCAACTAAACAGGCAGAGAACATACTGACTGGGCAGAGCATCCATTTTTAGTGACACCAACACAGATGCTCTAACAGACAGTCTATCAAACATGGCCACTTGATTTTCCCCCCTTTAAAAAAAAACAAACAAAAAACCCCAAACAAACCTGGAGACATACAAGCCACATCACATACAAAAGATATTGGTTATTTAACTAAAATTTAAGAACTGAAGCACTTCAACATGTCACTTTGTCTTAAATAACAGACAATGCATGGTTTTTTTGTCTTTTTCAATTATTTTAATGATTCAGGAAATTTTCATCCAGCGTTTTTACCTGTTCTTTGATGTCTTGTAACTGTTGCTGCAGCTTCTGTACATCTGCATTGACATTGGTGTTGTCTTTGTCCTTCTGCAAAACTGGAATGTTTCCACTTGCTGTAATTTAGAGAAAATGAAGATATGTGATTATGCATTAATCTAATGAAACAGGAATAATTATTTCCAGTGTACTAACTACAAATTTCAATTATCTGAAATAATGTTAATCAATATTTGATAATTAATCCAATTCATCACTGCAGATCGATTAATAAAGAACTACTTTTGAGTTTAGTGGCAACATTTCTTGAGCATCATTATTTAGGAAATATTTGTCAAAATGCCTGTAGCCCCTTAATGTTCTCAGAGTTTTTATTTATCAGTGAAGTTCCTGCAGTAAATTTTTTTGCACATGTAAAAAATAAAGCCAAATCCTTTCACACTGAAAGACTTCTTATCTACACAGACGATCCTATTTGGTGTTCAGAACTGCACAAGTATCTTGGAAGTAGTTTGCTCAAAATCTGAACAAACTCAGACTAACATTCCTGTATTTGACTCATCCAGGAAGCAATGTTACTGTAAGAAACAGAAAAATTTAGAAGTACTTGAAATGACAATTTTTAAGTTTCCAGTGTGAGTATTAAAAACCTGATTTTAAGGGTTATTCTTATGTTTATCTATTTAGGATCAGTATGACAACAATGACCTAATACTCCAATTCACATAAACTCAAATCAAACACTGCATACACACACAGAGTAAATACAAATAATTCATAGAAATTATTCTGAGAAATCACAAGAAGTTTAAAAACTAGTCAAAGCAGGAGATCTAAAACAGAACAATCTGTCATGAAAGATGCTTGTACCTAGATGCAAAATATTTACCATTCCTTTATCAGTCAGAGAGTTCCAGAAGTTAAAAAAAACCCCAAAAAACAAACATTTATTTGCTCATCTACACAAACCAGAGACAATCTTCAGCTTTCGCTTCACAGGACTTTAATAAATGGCCAAGAAGCCATACACGTTTTAGCTTCTACTCTGGGTGCTGGAAGCAATCATGTAGTGTAATGATTGGTGTTACAATCGCATCTGATGCCACCAGTGTAGAAAATAGTGCAAACAGCAAACAGATACCTGGCTTAACACTGTTTTTATTAAACTTTTCTTTAAAAAGGAAAGATCTAAGTAATTTAAGAGAATGACTACAAGAAGTTGGTGGAGGAATATGAAAGAGTATGGGTTTTGGAGTCACTCACAAATATCATCAGTGGTATCTTCTGTACCTTTCCCTCCGCAGCACATTATGAAAGGCACTCTTCGCTCAACCACTGCTCGACACTGTACACATTTCTTCATCAAGCTTGCACAATCTGAGAGGACAGAGAAATAAATCAACTCCGAATCCTGTGCATATTTCATTTTTCTTCTTTCCTATCCATGAGCTTGTTTATTCACAGTAACCTCATAGCAATGCCATAATAGATACTTGTAATACAAAGAACTACTTGCGCTCATCTTCTCAACGTTTTCTGCAAATCGCACTTATAAACAATGTCCTGTTTGGGATTCAAAGCAAACCTATTGTTTGTCTTCTTTTAACATATTCAAAGTGAGCAGGTTCCTCTTTCTCCAAATTGATGTCTATCCCACAAGAGTTACAGAAATTAAAAAAGTAAAATCACACATATTTGAGACCAGAACTTCCAAGGATGTCTTGACTTCCTTTAGAACAAAGATCTCGGTTACGGTCCTAATGCTCCAGGGGCAAACAGGTGTGACTCCTTACCCTTAAAAGAGTAAACCCGTATCTTTTGATATAATCCTAGAAAGGAGGCTGTAATTCTTCTACGAAACACAAATTATTGTCTTGTAAATGCTGAAGGTTACTGTGAATCAATAGAGTGGGTCCCATAAACTACACAAATTTGAAGACTCTCTCTCATCCTGCTTGAAAAAGATGTCCAGAAAATAATCTGGAAAGAAATTATCTACATCTGTTACACCTTTTGCTGTCCTTGTTACACCTCAGACTTGGTGACCAAGCGACTTTCACTGATGAAATCCTTCACCACAGCAATCAATCTTTTTGCTGTCCTCTTTCTGGGAAACTAGTAAAAAAAACCTTCTCTCATCATCTTTCAACTGCAGACAGTGAAAAAAGCCAGATCAGGGTAACTGTAAAGTCACTGATTCAATGTCAGGTTTCTTAGCCAGAACAGAGGAAGAAACCAGACTTCTTTAGGGAGACCAAGTAAGCAGCTATTCATGGGAATTATTACCTTCCCTCTTATGTAGATCCTCAGCACAAGGACTGCTCTTCTCTAGGCAAATGGCCCTTCAACAAAGCCCTGAAACGTCTGGTGACAAAGTGATGGTTGCATTCTCATCCACGTATGCTCAAAACAAAAAAAATTCTGCAGATCTCCTATGTATTTTTTGCTACATGAGATAAATCAGAGTGAATCATAACTGGTGCTTTTTACAAAGATACATGATGTGTCTTTTAGGGAAGAATATGGCCCTTGTGCAAATCTGTAGATTAGTAATTAAACATATTAAATATTTATTTACCATATTCTTTTAAAATGTCATTTTCACAACTGAATGCCCTAAAAAAGCTGCAAAGCACTAAAATAAATTCTAATTACTTCAGAAATTTTAATAATACACAGCAGGCTTCTATAATCTGAGCAAGCCTACTCACAATTAAATAATTCAGACAGAAGAGCACTTGCCTTCTGAATTTTTTAAACTCTTCAGTTTGTCCTCCAATTATTTCATTACCATCGCACCAAATAATGCCAAAATTCTGACACAGAATTTCACACCAGACTATCACACCAGACTATCAAGTAAATTCAATCTGAGGTCAGATTACTAATGAGCTTTTAGCAATCTGATTAAAAATATTCCGTTTCTTGAAACTCCTGTTTCAAGATTACTTAAAAAAAGAACCTCCTCTCAAGTTTACTTACTCTCACAGGCACACATATGACCACAAGGCTGGAAAAGCACTGCTGCCTTTTTGTCTGAACATACTACACACTCTTCGATCTGTAAAAAACAATAAACACACATATGAGAAGTTTATCTCCTGCTCTCTACATTAATTTGCTTTTACACTCTCTTTGGCAAGGCACGTGGGCTTTAAGAAGCTCCATCTAGTTGTTATTTTAACTAATTCAGCACCTCAAAATGCAACTTACATCAACTTCTAAGAAAAGTCATTCGCTGGCAATATTCATCTGTTTGGTACACTGACAGGCACAGAGAAGCAGCTAAGACAGTATAGGTTTCTTTTTCTTTATTCTTTCCTCCTTCTTTGTTCCATCATATATACTTAAATTCAATTATAAGAGACTTTTATAGTAATCTGTTTTCATATTCTGGGTTAGGGTTTCTCCAGCCCTTTAATGTGATGAACTGTACATATAGTGTGTGACCACAGACATCACATACCACTCCATTCATACAGTAAAGAAAGTCCATAGAAAAGGATCTCGCATTATGTTAACATTCAGCGTTTGGAAATACACATGGCAGAATAGTGAATGATATAAGAAGAAAGAATAAGAGAGTGAATAGTAAAAACAGTACAAAGGCATATTTTACAATTCCTGTATTTACTCTGAGGCAAAGAAAAAAAAGACACCGCAGAAGTGGACTAGTCAACGTTTGGGAAAAAAAAAAAAGATAAAAAGAATAGGGTGGGTTTTCTACAGATCAGAAAACCTGTGTGTGGAACATGAGGTGTTTTGTCTGGGTCTGGGTTTGGTTTTTGTTTTTTTTTTTTTTAAACAGATAAAAAGCAACGGAAGGACAAGACTTGGTGATTATGAAGAATAAAAGAATATTCAAACAGAAAAACAACAAGGATGCACCCTTACAGTCACAAACACTTGGGAGCAACCATTTGAGAAACCTGAGGACCTTGCTGGGATTAGATCTCCAAAATAGGGCACAACTGGTTGACAGTCTGAATGAAAAAGACAGCATAATGAAATTCATTATTCCAAAGAAAGAGAAGGTGAAATCTGAAAGTAATTGTTAACTTCAAAACCAAGCACATATTCACTAACTCAGTTTACAGGCAAATCATCTTTCTAAGCAGCCCTAAGGAGTAAAAGAACTCAGAAGAAATGAACGTTACTGAAGGAAATTATACTTCAGGAAAAGCAACATTTATCTCCATATGGAGAAAAAAAACACCCGGAGGGGTGGGAGAGTGGGAAATCTCTTTAAATAAAGCATCCTCAAGGTGACTGTATTATAAACTCTGAGGACCTGAACAATAAAGGCATTGCAAGGTGGGGAGAAAATGAGTGGCAGGTAGGATATGAGTACAGGCAAACAGAAAAGAGTAACATAAAAAGTTGTCACAAGATACCCTTATGATGCAAAATTAATTCCATCCAGTGAGACACCTGTAAGGCAAAATACTGCTTAAAATATACTACACTTCTCATTGACCTCTTTTTTTTTTTTTTTTACTTTTCAATTAAAAACAGAACAAGAACCAATAAACTTTGGAGATTTTTACCTTTGTCCTAGACTGAACTTGTTCTTTACAGATGAGGCATTTCTTCACCCGTGGTGAGCACAGAGAACACGTGGCAATGTGTCCGCACGGGCCAAACAGAGTATCTCTCTTCATGTCTGAACACACCATACATTCTTCTAAGGTTTCAGAATCATTGTTGATCATAGATGGACTTCGGGAACCAACCTGACCACTGCAAAGAAACCTTACAGTCAAACTTACTTTCAAGAACTTTTAAAGTTCTTTATTTAAAATGCACATCAATTGGCTGTTTATCTGAACTGGCATTCAGGCATCAGTGTATCACCATGAAGCAATCTGAACTGCATTTTCACAAATACACAGTTGACACTAGAGGGCAAGGTCCCATGCTCAGATAAGACATTTTACAGAAACAGGCCTCACAAGTTAGAATAGCATCTCTTGAACATAAAAACCCTCCCCTCTCATCCTGAGAGTTTACTTGATTACTACAGACACACTCTGTAGATTCAGAACTGCACAGCTTAACACCTTAATCTTGAATATAATTTCAATACTTTGCAAATGTAGAAGAACTCCCAAACTCCGACAGTGAATTCACCTCAGATCTTTGTCTTATGCTGCTGCTCACCCAGCAGAGGGAGTGTGTGTGGAACCTAGCCAGCCCGCTCCTCCAGCCCTCATAAGCCCATAAAAGGTGGCAAGAAAGAAAAAACAGCCACAAGGATAAGGCTGAGAGAGATGGACAGACACAGACAGAAAGACTGCAAACAAAATCACACCAGGTCATATTGGGCTCTGCCCATTCCAGTCTTCAAAACTTGCACAGACAGAGATTTCACAACCTCCCTGGGCAACCTGTCCAATGCTTAGTTATTCTTTCAGTGATTTCCGCCCCCCCCACACACACACCTTTTCTGGAATGGTGTGAAGCTCCACAAGCCTTCATTTGCATGTTGTCACCTTCCCATTCTCCTCCCTCCCATATAAACAAATATGAAAGTCTGGTAAGACTTGTGCAAGTTTCAACTAATGTATGTCTAAATGGCATTCAATATACCATAGAATATAAAGAATTAATAGTTCTTATTATTTTTATTCTCTATTAATAATTCCAATAATTAATAATTATTGAAAGTCAATAAAAAGTTTGTATGTTCCAACACTATTGTGAATAAAGGCACAATGTTTTAAATACATTGGTTAATCTACAGAAAGCAGAGATTTGGAAACTGTGTATTTTATGAATATACAAACCTGACTTTTTCTTTGTGACATTTAGCCAATGCTTTGCAGAGACTAGGATCAGGGCAGAGATCGAGAGGAGACTGACCCTTCTTATTACGAATGCTAAGGTCAGCTCCGTTGGCTGCCAAGAAGCAGGCAATAGATGCTGCACTCTTCTTCTCTGCTCCCTGGGTGCCAAGTCCCATTATTAACTGAAAGAAAACAAATATGTAAGCAACTTGAGAGACTCTCTAAACAGTTAGGAATAGTCTGGCTAAACGAGAACTACTTGACATGCACACATGCACACACACACAGGTATACATCTGTTAAGTCCAAGGACGTGCCTCTAAAACTAAAAATTCAAACTATTGTATGGTCGCTTAATTTTGAGTCAGCTATACTCAACCTTCCTTTAAGGAACTAAAATTCAGCAAGGAATAGTTCAGCTACTGAAGCACTCAATCTCCTGCACACTTAAACTCACTTTGAGGTGGCTACCCTTCCAGATAAGCACTGTAAAGGGCAAAATCCCAGTGAGTGTATTCAGAATACAGCCGAAGTATACTGAACTTCCTGAGCTCAGACAAAATGCCACCACCACCACATCTGGACTGAAAACATAGTTGGGCAGAAAAGTGAATGCACACTTACTTTTAGTCTACTGAGTAAAGCACCTGCCCGAGACTTGATTTCAGTTGCTTTCTCAGCCTAGAGGGATTTAAACCCACATACCCCTGCCCAAATCATGTAATGCTTCTTTGGCTTTTTACAACTATTACTGTGTTTCTGTACTAGCCTACCTATTACACACCATTCACAGGGCCAGCTAGAAAAATAAAGAGAAGGCTCACTACCATAGCCCACCTACTTTGGAGCATTCTGGCCCTGCTCCTGTTTGTATTAAAAGTTTGATCACACAAAATGGATTAAGTATAATGCAGACTACATATAACATGAAACTGCTGGCACCACTAAGAATCCCTCAAACCACATCAGACTATATTTAAAGGAACAGCTTTGGTACAGCTGGCACAGGTCCAATTCAAGTAGTTTTAAGTGCTGAATTCCAGAATTATAAAGGCTGGGACATTAGGAGAGAGGCAGGATTTTATATGCACCTCTTTGTCATTAATTAATAAGTGCCCAACTTGACTGATATACATCTTTCTATACCACTTTCGGTTTGTACAGTCTGTACCTGCAGATGGTCTTCTAAAAGCTGGGTGTCAAGTATCACCTCTAAAAATTAAGTCATTTTGGCTGGATTAACAACCATTTTATATTTGAAGAATGAGATGCACCATTTTAGACGCAACAGCATACAGGAATAAATTTAAAATATCCGATACCTGTCACTGCAGCCCTGAAGGTTACCTATCTTGAAGCCTGAACTACAAAGAAAACTGTTCTCAAAACCCATCTAGTTATCTCCCCCATCCCTCAGAGGTGACTTCCGAAGAAAAAGGCTTGGTTTGGGTCCTTCTCTTGCAGCACATGAAGTAGGTATTAGAAGCCTTTACATTGTCTTGATAACTGCAAGATTACCCTCATCATACAGCCACTCAGTTTCCTAGGGAAGTAATTTTTTTAAACCTCAGTCTATATGATTTTTTTCTAGTTAGAAGTTCTTATATCAAGAAGTATTACTGAGGTGCTAGGAGACTCCTGAAGGTCACTTAATGAGTTCACAGATACTCACGGTCCTGCATTCCTCCCTATGGTCAGGTAAGAACAGTACAGCTTGAAAGACTTCATACCAAGAGAACCAGTAAGTTATGGAGGGAAATTGTTTCGTGGTTTTCAGATCACAGAACATTTTTGTTTATAAATTCAGACCAATTTTCTACACCTCAATTATAGTATTGGCTGAAATGAAGCAGGCATTTTATCTAGCTTCAGTCTGGATACCTTGGACCATGTCAGTAATCCAGACAAGGTAGTACAACGCCCAGTGAAAGCTGATTTGCTCCGAAGCTGGCAGAGTATACGTTTTTAGAAGGCATGCCCACACAAAACAATTTGCTGTCGTCATTCCTTACTTGCCCTCTTACCATCCACACTTGCACCTTATGGGCTCTGAGCTGTTCCTCAACAAAACAGCTATTGTGTCTCCAAGAGGAAAATCAAACGCAGCTAACAGGATAGTTTGCATCACTTGGTGTGGATACACATACACTACGTCAAGACTGGCCCCTCCACCTGAAACAGTCATCAACATTATTCAAGAAAATCTTGGTCCTAAAATGCCTCTGCATGCTGCACGCTTTGAAAACACCAGGACAATATTGTATCCCATGATATTTTTCTGGTAGTCTGCAACATTTCAGGCACACAGAATGAAAAAAAAATAAAAAACCATCCCATGCACAAAACCAATATTATGTCTTAGTGCCTAGAATGGCTGCAGCAAGCCACCTCTGGAGGGTGGTGGCCCCGAGACACATCAACACAAGCCAGCCCCAGCCCGTTCACCTGTAAGGGGGAAGATGCTGTGCAATCCACACACAGTATAAATATAATCGAAGCAGTTGGAACTACTGAGCTACCTTCGAAGCTGTAAACACCCAACTGACTCACATTAGAGTTTATTTAGTTTAAGTTAGGAATCATTCTGAATCTTAAAAGTGTTTTAAGGGTCTGCAAGATACCTTATTAAAATAATTTATACTAAGTGATCCTGGGGAATAATATATCTACCTAGAATAAAAAGTACCCTAGAACAAGGACCACTGCATCTATAATAAAGCAACTGAAATTACTTTTTTTGCGATGGTGGGGACTGTACTTCAGAAAACTCCTCCTCCTTCCAGCCCAATCATCACAATGAGCTGGATGAAAAACTTCAAAATTATTTAAAGAAATAGGGTTCACTGCTCATAGCACTTAAACACAGACATGTTTTTCAGATTGATATCTAGAATATGTGGGGCTTTGTGTACTATCAAGATTTTTCACTACATGCATTTTAAACAGTCCATCAAAAGTTAATCACAATTTAGCCAAGCAAAAATTAGCTCTAAAATACTAAAGATTTATGTATCAGATTTGCTATCACATGGACTAAAGAAATTTGACATGTTTTCACAATCTTTAAAGGAATTAATAAAAATTAATTAAAATTAAAATTTAATTTTAATTAAAATTAAAAATACAGATTCCATCAATTTGTCATCACATTCACAAAAAGAAAGCTTTACTGTCGCCCAGACTAAATTATTTATCCTCTATTATCCATCACCTGTAATTGCAATTCTACACAAGACAAATTACAAATGTGTCCTTGGATAGCTTTAAAGGTCCAGATGCCTGCACAGATTTTAGCAGCCTAGATCATGTGTTTTTTTGCCATACAAAGGTGGGTATTAAAACTGTTTCCTGGTAAAATCTAGTGTATAGCACTTTTACATTCTCTTTATTTAAATACATGTAGATAGGTCCAAGTACAGTTCTCATTTACTATTTTCCACAAAATAACATTTTCAAGATAGTTTGATCTGCTGATCATCTTTTAAAGAGTTTTTAGGTATATTTTAGCCAGGCTTTACTCCACCATTTATATTTCAGCCACATCTTATGTTGCTGTCACATAAAATTAAAATAAGCAAGTTTTCACCTCTTCTCTGAGGCTACATATCTTCTCCACACCACTTAGACATCCCAAATTTGTTAGTTAGGCAAAAGTTTTCTCTGCAGCTAAACAAATTGCAAAAAAAGACCAATAGTTTGATCAAGCTAAAATAGGAGGTAATGGTTGAATTAAAAAAAAAAAACCAAACAAAAAACCCAAACAAACAGAAAACAAAAAACAAACCAACATCAGAACATTTTTAAGTGATCAGAGATGCAATCACGCAGACACATTTGTTTGTTGTGGTGTCTTGCCCCTACCCCACCCCTCCTTTTTTTTTTAATTTAATAGAAATAAACCAAAAATGATTTTTTTTTTTAAACCACAGATACAGCTCAAATGAAACTAGGAAAAAACTTATTCTCTGAAACATAATATCTCCCCAAAATCAAAATTCTAAAGGCAGTGGAAAAAACCTCCACTTCTTGCGTTAAAAAACTCAAAACACAACAACTCTAGTTCCACTGTGGATGCCACTAATAAGATGGGCAACAGAGAACCCTATTTATGAAATGCTGAATTGGAAAAAAAGTTATTTATCTCCCGTTCATTCATTTCACAATTAAATGCATGCACACAAATTATTTTGGCCACCTGTCACAGAGTCCACTTCAGATCATGGAAACAACTGAGCTGTAATTGCTTTCTTCCTCTCACTTAGAAGGACACAAGCATTTTCTTACATATGCCAGTCACATTTTGAATCAATTTTCAAAATTTATTCCAGTGTACTTCAGTGACTTAAGTAACTAGTCTGAAAAACATTTATTGTACAGTGGAATTACTGTTTTGAACAAAGGCTTTTTAATAAAGTTGGTGGGCTGGTGCAAAACTTAACACCCATAGATGAATTAGAAAAAAATATTACGACACTGGTAACTAATGATTCAGCAAATCTGATCCACTGTTAAGTTTTGCATCTTCAATATTTAAAGAAAAAAATTGTTTGCCTTTCTCAATGCCAATCAAGCCAGAATTTTACTTCTCCTCTGTCTTTCAGCAAAACTATAAATTTCACCTTTGCATATGGTGTTCACACAGCTTTTTGGGTGTGAGCGTTTCTTTTTTCAATAAAACATTTTGACCTTTATTACCTGGAGTTTCTTTGACTATTTCCTTACTACAGCACAATTTCTGAAATGAACTCTGTCAGAAAGATACACAACAATAAAGATACAAAGACTAAGAATGCCTTCTTCTAACAGAATAAATTTTCAGACAGTTATAGAAGCAGCTAAACAATTAACGCTACAAAGACATGCAGGATGGTGAATCACAGCAAACAGAATTTTATGGTCTTATTCTGTACTGTAATACTGTTTATTTCTCTTTCCTAAAAAGCTACTTTTGATTTTTTGGCAGCTATACATGTTCACTAGGGAAGACAAATTTATAGAAATATTCTGAATGAAAGAATCCATATTTTTCTGTAAGAGACAATGACTACATGTGAAAAGCCACATGTAATAACATTTCTGCATACACTGCAGTGTAATGCAGAATGTCTACACAAACTTATACTGCCAAAAACCAGTTCAACAGTACAGAACCAGACAAACTAGACAAATAAAGAGACAAATTTACAGGAAAAAAAAAAAGGAATAAATAAATGCATTTTATTTACTGTGTTCTTTGATGGCTCCCAAGCAGTATCTACCTTGCCCACATCTTGCATGTCTTGGAGTTGGCGGAGCTGTGACAGGGTGTGGTGTCTCAGGGCTTCATGCAGGGGAGTATCCCCATCTTTATCCTGAATATCCAGCTTAGCACCTGCACGGACTAAGAGCTGAAAAGAGAGAGAACCCAATTTAAAACTCAAAACCCCAACTTAATTTTAAAACTAATTTCAGTGAAACTATGGTTTAGGATGCTCTAGGAGGTACAAAAGGGTTACTGTAATGTCTTGCTGTAATTCCCAGTTGAGTTTATTTGCATTATTTTATTGACATTATTTCCCAACACGCTGGAGAGTTGGGCGGAAAGGA